GATTGGTGCTCACAACTATAGCATCACTTCAACACGTTATAGAATACAGGGTCCGTTAATGAGCACAATCCGTGTAGAAGGTTGCTCGTTAACCTAAACTCATTGTTTCAATGGGTTTTTAATTGCCTAAATTCAACAAAAAGTAGAAAGATACACTTACTTTGAGGTGTGTATGTAGAAGGCTCCTGGATGATGATGATGATGATGATGATGATGATGATGATGATGATGATGATGGGAATTAGAATGGGGGTGGAGGAGAAGGAGAAGAGAAGGCATTGGTGGAAGAGAAGTCACCCCATGGCACCATTTAACCCATAAAATTTTAGTTCTCTGGTGTAATTCAAGATTATTTTTAAATCAACACTGCACTGTCAATATATAAAGTAAATTAAATTGACCAATAATTTGTTGGAAACACAGAAAAAAAGCGTTTAGTTGAAGAGAGTCTCAAGCAAGATGTTACCTCTACTGAAAAGACACAAAGACTAACGCCTGTATGGTGTGAGCAGGCTGGATGGTGCGCCACAAACGAAGTTTTTACTCAATTATGTTCAATAATTGTTAAAATGACTAAAAATTTAATATTAAACTTTTAAAATTATTGAATAGTATAAACTTCTTGATATTTAGTAAAAGGGTAAGGAATTTAAGCCCTAGAACCGATACTGTATTGGCGGACTAATACTACAGCTGGTGGCCCGCCAGATGCAAGCTAAAACATGTGGAGGCTGGTAAGAAACTCATTAATCAAGGATTGCTTGTACATTATTTTTAATATCTCCCTCGTACATGACTCAACACTCAGTTATCTCGCACATGACTCAACACTCAGTTATCTCCCCGCACATGACTCAACACTCAGTTATTCTCGCATGACTCAACACTCAGTTATTCTCGTAAATGACTCAACACTCAGTTATCTCGTACATGACTCAACACTCAGTTATCTCATGACTCAACACTCAGTTATCTCCGACATGACTCAACAACAGTTATTCGCATATGACTCAACACTCAGTTATTCTCGCACATGACTCAACACTCAGTTATCTCCTCGCATGACTCAACACTCAGTTCTCCATCTCACTACTGCATGACTCAACACTCAGTCATCTCCCATATGACTCAACACTCAGTTATCTGCATAGCGACTCAACACTCAGCCTGCATACTCAACACTCAGTTATTCCTCCATGACTCAACACTCAGTTATCTCTCGTACATGACTCAACACTCAGTTATCTCGCATATGACTCAACACTCAGTTAGGTGTTACGAAATATTAACCCCAAACAGTTGGTTTCATTAGTACCAGGTAACGTAATACTGTACTTTCTGTTTAATATGGCGGCTCAGCACCTGTTGGTTAGGTTAGGTTAGCGGAGTTTGTTTCCTGGTTAGCTTAGGTTGGGTTAGGTTAGTTGGCTAGGTTGGGTTAGTGGCCTTAATTCTGTTGCCACCACACCATCTCCGGAATCTTATAGTTCCAATCAGAAGCTATGATAAGACACTCTTCTTCACTGGTATTTCTGGCACAAATTTGCTTACGCCAGAGCATAGAACAACTGTGGAGCTTCCCAGTTAGGTTAGGTTAGGTTAGGTTAGGTTAGGTTAAGTTATTTTAGGTTAGGTTAGGTTAGGTATTATTTTAGGTTTGTTTGTTTTTCAGAAAGTTTTGATGCGTTTTGAACACATTTTACCTTGATTATTATAGAAAATCTCTAGATTCTGAGATGGGAAGAATACTCAACTCAGAACCTATTGATTTGTGACATAAATGAAGGTCAAATTCGTCCATAAACATAAAAACCACCGGAAAACAGTCTTTCAACTTCCATCTCATACAGTGGCAACCAGTGAAATTTTAACGGTTAGGTAGTTTCTTTGGTTAGGTTAGGTAGTTTTGGTTGGTTAGGTTAGGTAGTTTTGGTTGGTTAGGTTAGGTAGTTTTGCTGGTTAGGTTAGGTAGTTTTTGGTTGGTTAGGTTAGGTAGTTTTTGGTTGGTTAGGTTAGGTAGTTTTCTTTGGTTGGTTAGGTTAGGTAGTTTTGGTTGGTTAGGTTAGGTAGTTTGGTTGGTTAGGTTAGGAAGGTTTCTGGTAAATGTCCATTTTACAGCAACCATTGAATTTGAAAAAAATTTTTCTGATGGATTTTGATGTGATTAGTTCAAATCTGACCTTCGTTTATGTCGGAAATCACGCTTGTTTTAGTTATCAGTTTAGGTGAGCTTTCTGACAATAAACATGACCATTCCAATACAAACACACCAAAAAACACTAGAAAAGCATATAAATGACCTGACCTGACCTGACCTGACCTGATTTGACCTGATGTGACCTGATATGAACCTAACCTGACCTGATGTGACCTAACCTGACCTAACCTAATCCAACCTAACCTCACACCAGACCTAACCTAATCTATCACCATATGACAGAATCACTTATATTTTACCTTAGTGGCCTGGTCTCATGTTAACTATGTTGGTCTCGACAATATTTACAACCGTTCTCACACTACCTGAGGTCGGGAGAACACCATGAGATCTACAAAATGGTTAGTTTGATTTTTCCCCAAAACTCACAATCAGTTCAGATAAGTGATCAACCCATCGCAGACTCCCATGGTCGGAAATGAATTTGAATTTTGAAATACGATAAACCCAAAAATCACAATTGAATCTGATTGGGCAAAATATACAGCTTAATTAAACCAGAATTATTTTAATTGGCGGTCAAAAAGAAAAACTTTTTGATTGGCCGTGGACGGTAATGGGAACGCCTGATGATTTATGAAGGAGACGCTGAGTGGAAGGTGAGGAAGGCGATAATGGCAGAAGATTAATGGAAGATAATAGAGAAAAGATTCATACGCCACGTTATTATACGCTTAGACGGTAATGCAATAGATGAAAAATACCTGAAAATTAGACGATTATTTGAATATGATAATAGAATAGATAGAAATGTTGAACTAATGCAAAAATACCGACACACAATCTGAGCAGCAGCATTGGGTCAACAGGTGATGATATTCTTTATAAAATTCAATAACTTTATAATCAATTTATTGCAGAAATGTAATATAAGAAAATAATCATAAAATATAGTTCTATCAATAGGTCAGGTTTTAGTAAATGTCTTTAATACTTACCATAATAACACAGGTCGAAAAAATAGACAATATTTAACATCTACTTTATATATGTCCCAGATCATTATACACCCCAATACACATTATACATAACAATACATATATACTATACCTTTTATAATAGCCAAGTTTCCAAGGCCTTAAATACTAATAATACGAGTTAATAAGGAGAGGAGCTGATGAACCCAGCACATAACACAACACTGGCTGAGGGATGAACTATGTTATTAAAACCACGACCAAAACCCTAAATTAATTATCTTTTAATAGCTTATAAACAAAATAATTATAATCAAAAATCTATTTAATTATTCATAAAATATATAAAATAATTATAGTCATCATTATTTTCATTAAGGACTCAAATATAATAATTTATAGGTTGGTGTTTTCATTGTGTTTTATTTAACATTGTATACCATCTTCACATCTCTTAGGTGACGAAGATAATTTTTCTAACATGAACAACAACTACAGGTACAGGTATATGGTACAGGTACAGGTATATGGTATAGGTACAGGTATATGGTACAGGTACAGGTATATGGTACAGGCAGGTATATGGTACAGGTACAGGTATATGGTACAGGTACAGGTATATGGTACAGGTATGGTACAGGTACAGGTATATGGTACAGGTACAGGTATATATAGTACAGGTAACAGGTATATGGTGCAGGTGTATAGTATATGGTACAGGTACAGGTATATAGGTACAGGTACAGGTATATGGTACAGGTACAGGTATATGGTACAGGTACAGGTATATGGTACAGGTACAGGTATATGGTATAGGTACAGGTATATATGGTACAGGTACAGGTATATGGTACAGGTACAGGTATATGGTACAGGTACAGGTATATATGGTACAGGTACAGGTATATAGTACAGGTAACAGGTATATGGTACAGGTACAGGTATATGGTACAGGTACAGGTATATGTACAGGTACAGGTATATAGTACAGGTACAGGTATATAGTACAGGTATGTGATATGGTACAGGTACAGGTATACAGGTATATGGTACAGGTACAGGTATATGGTACAGGTACAGTATATAGTACAGGTACAGGTATATAGTACAGGTACAGGTATATAGGTACAGGTACAGGTATATAGTAAGGTGTATATGGTACAGGTACAGGTATATGGTACAGGTAGAGGTATATATACAGGTATGGTGGGGTATACAGGTAATATAGTATATGGTACAGTACAGGTATATGGTACAGGTATATGGCAGGTATATAGTACAGGTATATGGTACAGGTATATGGTACAGTATATAGTACAGGTATAGGTACAGGTAACAGGTATAGTACAGGTGTTTATTAATAAGAGATAGAACATAATTTCTTTGAGGTATGTGAAGGAACCCTGAATCATTACCATAAAACAACATCTAAATGATCTATATTTAACTCATGTAACCTTATATGTAAAGTAAATATAGATAATATGTGTTTTAATAAGGATTTAATATATATAGTTATGTTTTATAAGGTTTATTTTGTGGTTTATATTAATTAAACACTAAATAACTCTAGTTTATTTTAGTCACCTGATGGATCTGCAGGTGTGGTACTCCTAGTGATGCCACATAATATTTCTATACCTATTTTACAAAGATAATTACTAATATAACATAGATTACAATGTATTTTTTGTGATGATTTAAATAAGATTATAAATTACTATTGTATTTAGTAATATGTTGATTAATTATAAAGATTAAAGGTTAAATGTGGCAATAGGTTAGGAGGGAGGGTTTCTGGCCAGGGTAGATTTTTGGTCTTGCCAGAGAGAGAAATTATTCTCAACCGAGTCACACCTTCTCCTTCATCATTCCTATACCGTCAGTGTCCAGATAACAACCTAACTAGCCTTCAAGAGTGATTGGTAGAGGTATAATCATCGTTAAAGATGGATCCTGAAGCTTAGAGATGGCTAATCAAGTCACCGTTGAAGATGTTCCTTATTTTGACATAGCTCATTGTACTTGTTGCCTCTATGTCCGCGACGACCTGGGCACTGGTGAGTATAATGTTCATTTGTCATGACTGGGGCACTGGTGAGTATAATGTCTATTTGTCATGATCTAGGTACTGGTGGGTATAATGTCCATTTGTCATGACCTGGGTACTGGTGTGTATAATGTTCATTTGTCATGACTCATACTGGTGGTATAATGTCCATTTGTCATGACCTGGCACTGGTGTGTATAATGTCCATTTGTCATGACCTGGGCACTGGTATAATGTCCATTTGTCATGACCTGGGTACTGGTGTGTATAATGTCCATTTGTCATGACCTGGGTACTGGTGTATAATGTCCATATGTCATGACTCAGGACGTAAGTTTAGATTCTTTATGCCGACCTGCACAGTTGAGGGTTATGTTCTATTTTAAATCTATTAAGGATGCCCAAGACAGATTATTACAATAATTAGTATGATAATAATTATAATAATCTTTAATAATTGTAATAATAATTTTGATAATAAACGATAGTAATAATGATAATACTAATAATAAACTCGTGTCAGGGTCTGTCCGTCCACCTAACACTGTTGTTGCCTCAAATAACTTGTAGTTAACCTCCAAATAATATATTACATCTGTTATTTATTAGACCTGACCTAATGTATATTGTATACAGTACTGTAGTAGTTATTTAGTTTTTATATAATAGAATAAACTCCTTTTCAAAACTTGACATTATTACGGTATGAGCACGGATGTCTTAACTCATATAGTACAGTTAATATGAGTACACACTGTAATGTTATTATGAGCACTTGAGGGTCACGGGAGTAGTGCTGCAAGATAAGGGAGGTGGAACAGTCCTAGAGGCACGGTACAGTCCTCCCAGTGTGAAGCTCTCACTAAGGCCCTGCTTGTACTGTGTGTCGAGTAGGTCCGACTAATTACCCAAATGTAGCCGAATGAAGTCAAATGATGGTCCTACAAGCTGAATTCGACTGCTAATCACTTCGACTAGTATTTGGTGTCAGAAAGTCACAAAAATTGAAAACTTACTTTAATCTGAGTTAATAGATCGATATGTACCTAACCTAACCTAACCTAACCTAACCTAACCTAACCTAACACAACCTAACCTAACCTAACACAACCTCGACTAGTATTTGGTGTCAGAAAGTAAAAAAAATTGAAAACTTCTTTTAATCTGAGTTAATAGATTCGCGTGCATGTACCGACGGAGCGAGGAATTATCCAAATGTAGCCAAATGTAGTCGCAATGAAGTCAAATGATGGTCGTATAAGTGTAATTTGAGCTGTGAATCACTTCGATTATTATTTTGTGTCATAAAGTAAAAAAATTGGTAAACTTAATTTAATCTGAGTTGTGTTAGGTTAGGTTAGGTTAGATTAGTTAGATTAGATTGATTGATTAGTTGATTGATTGATTAGGTTAGGTACATGCACTTGATCTATTAACTCAGATTAAATTAAGTTTACCAATTTTGTGACTTTCTGGCACCAAATACTAGTCGGAAGTGATTAGCAGTCCGATTTATTCATGTAGGACCATTATTTGACTTCATTCCGCCACATTGGGTACATATTAGTCGGACCTGTTGTATAGTAACCTTGATAGTGTTATTGCCTGCTGCCCCTGACACTTGGCATCTGGAGCTAATGACTGAGCTGCAGCAACCTTCAGTATTGAATTCAAGTGCTCATCAGTAAATTGAGAACAAGCCAAGATTTATTAATGTTCATTACAGAAAAGTTCTGTTCACAAACATGTGTACTTCTGAACATGGACATACTATGCTGATAATTTGGTCCCACGTATGACAAACAAATGCAACATCAACACTCAAAAACTTTGGGTAAATTTACATTAGTGCAGACAACTCTGTTAGAAAGTAAAACATATATTTTTCTAGTGTATTTATTTTGTTTAGATTGGTTATGACCTTCTTCATTGTCGTGGAAATTGGCCATTTTTCTTATATCGCTTTTTTTTTTTTTGCTGGGGCGTTTTCCGACAAAAATTATGGCTAGCTTAATACCAAATACACCAAAAAACACGCTAATAAAACATAAACCTAACCTAACCTCACTGACTCTCCATTGATGATCACTTATTTCTTACCTTATTGGTCTGGTTCTGCTTGTCGCTCTCCTGAGATTAGTACAGGCTGGTGACGCTAATTCTCGCTAACGGGGTATAGGCGGACAGCTTCTTCCAAGAAGTGATGAAGTACAACACCGATGCTATAGTTTCTTCTGTTTTCCCCAAAACTCCCTATCAACTCTATTTAATTTAAGGACACCCATCGAAACTTCCATGGTCGGAAATGAATTTGAATTTTGAAAATGATAGATCCAAAAATAAAACCGAATTTGATCGTCAAAATACATGAATTAAACCACAAATCATTTATTTGTTCCTCCCCAAAAAAACCTCTTTGATTGGCCGCGACGGTACGGGAACGCGGATGATTTATGAAGGAGACACGTGGAGTGGGAGGTGAGGAAGGCGATAATGGCGGAAGATTAATGGAAGACAATAGAGAAAGATCTGCCATACACTACGTTATTATACGTGCTTGTGACGGTAATGTAATAGATGAAAAATTATCTTAAAATTAGACGCTTATTTGAATATGATAATAGACTAGGGTAGAAATGTTGTGTGAACTAATATCAAAAGTTGTCTTCAAACAGCATCACACTGATCCAACTGTAGATGTTTTGCCTCATTAACACTGACAGAGAATGGGTTCTGAAAAATTTTTAAATCTTCCTCAAGGTGAAGTCAGCAAATCTTTCTTTGAATGCATTCCTTTAACTTAGAAATCTTGATGCAGTATTTCTGTGTTGGCATCAGGTGTGTCTTGTAGGACTTCAGGTTGATGTGATAGATTACTTCTGCAAGTTGCATTTAACAAAGCTGCATTTTCATCTCAGCACAAATGTTGTAATAAAATTCTGCTATCAATTTATTGCATCCTTGTATCTTTGTGTTGAGGTAATTTAAGAGCTCTGTAATATCCACCACCAAAGCTACACCTTAACCCGCTCATTATCTCTCATTTCATGCACATCTTTTTCCTTCTGTTCCATAAACATCTGTATTTCAATGTCAGTTCATTAAATCACTTCAGTATGACTCTCGACTTAACCAGAGGAACATCAGTGGGATATGGCAGTCTGTGTGTGTGTTCTCATTTTCCTCCTAAAAGCTGTTGAACTGTCTGTGGTTTAGACCTCGTGCTTGTGTAAAGTTCACTGTCTTACTAATAATAATACTTTCTATGTATAGTGAAATACAAATTATGAAATTGATGGTTTGGGTTCACAGTCAGTAGTTACCTTTAATTCTGATATACCTAAGAAATGGTTTATTAATATGAAATTAAATTAGGTTAAAGGTGCTATAATATACAACTACTGTATATACATTCCTAACATACTCTAAGAAATGGTTTATTAATATGAAATTAAATTAGGTTAGAGATGTCATTAACTGCTGCTAGTTCAACTCCTTGGCTTTACTCATCTACAATTCCACTTAGATACTCTTGCTTCTGACATCATTACTGGTGGTGTACATTTAAAAGAACACCCACATGACAAGCTTAAGTATATGGCAAACGCTTGTGTCTTGGAGAAGGGGTCGGGCATCTTGTCCTGGTTGAGAAAAAACCTACTATAGTTTTCACTGATATAGACCATGTAGTAGTCCTAAGTGTATAGCAGGGTGTCAGCCCTCCTCCCAACAATAAAATACTCACTACTACTACTACTAATACTTTTTTGTCACTTGAATCTAAGTATGACGATCATCCAGCTGTGATATACAATGATATGAGTTATTATGATGTCACCTAGGTTGGTGAGGTCTGAGGTGACTAAAGAGGCCGATATGGGACCGCAGAGTCGATCACAGATGTTGCACGGTGAGGGCTGCACCTGGAGTGGAGGGGCGCAGTGTCTCATGCTGGCGTTTGTCTGCCCTGTTATGCAGTCGGCTAACTTCTAAAGTTGACACCTTTGTTTGGTGCCCTCCAGCGTGTACGGTTGAGTGATCGCCTCCCAGGTGAGGGTCGATCGGCACTTTTTCAGGTTTGTCTTAAGACTATCTCTTATACCTTCTTCAGCTGGCTCACCAGCTGCCGCTTACTATTCGTTAGGGTGACCGGTAAAGTAGCTTGCTGGCAGTCTACTGTCGTCCGTGTGGTAACATGGCCAGTCCAGCTGAGAGTTGTTCGTGGGTAATGGTAGCCTGATGTTCCTCCAGTTGGTGTCAGCAAGAATACTGGCATTTGTTCTCTTTGTCTTCCAGCTAACTCGGAGGATGGAACGACTGTTGATGAAAGCTATGCCTTGAGGTGCCTCTGCATGTGACCCATGTCTGGCTGCCATATAGCAGGGTGGGAAGGACCACTGCTCGATATACAGTAACTTTGTAGATAATTTCAGCTCCCCACCAGAAGACATGGGTGGAGTTCAGAAAGGCTTGAGATGCATTATTTGATCCGACAGCAAGACGATGTCCTGCAGTGGTGACAGGCTGGAGCCGGATACTGGAAAGTGGCAACATTAGAGAGGGTAGTACTGTTGGTTGGATGGATTGTGGAGGTGGCTGAACCAGGGGCAGGCTGAAAGAGAACTTGAGTCTTAAGTAACATTCACCTCAAGGCTCAAGTGTGTATGTGTTCTGTGAGTTTGCAGGATTTCCTGTAGGTTATGCTCAGTGTGAGCGACAGGGGTGAGGTCGCCTGCATACTGAAGTTCAGTAATGGAAGCTGCCTCATACCTTTTGTGCCTGCTCTGAGTCATTTTATGTTGAAGAGACCCTTCATCCGTACTGGATGTCCACCCTCTGCTTAAATTGGCACTGACTTGAGGTAAGGCAGCCATTAAAAATGGAAAGAGAGTTGGTGCCAGTACACATCCTTGTTTTACCTCTGTTTGGATGGGAAGAACTCAGACTGGGTGCCATTTTGCAGGACACTGCTCATGCCATCGTGGTGTTGCCTCACAATGGCGATGAATTTTGGTGGGCAG